GTAGTAGTACGACTGAGACGGAGGACGAGTATACGTACTACGTACTAGTACTACTACTAGTATATATATAGTAGGTAAGAAGTAATAATAACTTACTACTCTCTCTCTCTCTCTCTCTCTCTCTCTCTCTCTCTCTCTCTCTTGTGTTTGCATATATAAATATAAAGTTGAAGATATATTGAAAGACAAGGGAGGATGATTTTGTACAAAGTTTGTGATGGTTGACCACAATTCTTGAGACATTTTTGCGCATCATATGTTCCTCTGTAATCACAAGGGTCTGCGCAACCAGCAGCCGGGGCTAAATATGCAGGCCAATACCGCCCTATGCCAAGCCCATTAACCCAGACTTGACCCTTGCCCATGCTTGCAAGGTTTAGTGCCAAAGGAGAATTTCCTTCAGGTGCATCAAATGTGGCCTGAGGTAGGTAAAAAAGATTGCATAAGTAACACACAATATCAATAGAATTTAATCGTGACATGAAAAGATAATAGGTCTGATATCGAATTGTACCGCATCCAAAATGCTGGTATTTTAAAAAAGGGGGAAACTCCTACTTCCTTTGAAAGCATAACATATTTGAGAACGCAGAAACAAGTCAAACTTGTTCTACAAGTCAAGTATGAACATTTATGTTACTCAACAAAAGAGTTATCCTGCTTACAGTAAGTATGCCCAAAGTCACTCCAACAAGACCTTCGACCAGATATATAAATTGTGGGTTACAGAACTCTTTCTAAAATGATAAGCTTGGCCTAACCACCACAATTCTCTCTGCTTCTCAGGGGTGAAAATAACCCAAGAACTCAGACTGTAAATTAAAGATCCCTCATAATTCCAAAGAACCTTGAATGCGTGTTCCACAAAGGATGTTGCTCATGAGCAGACTTTTGACTTTGGCAGTAACAATGTACAAAGCATGTGATATCTTGAATCAGAAAAAGAGAAGACCATAAATAATTCTCTGGTGATCAAAAATTTTAGGGAATGAGACAAGTAGAAATGGCAAAAGGAATCACATTCGGAGTTGCATAAATTCCCGAGACATGAAAACAAAGATCACGCATTTGTAACATTTAGATCACGCAGTCACCTATGCCTGGAGATGTCCTAGTTCATAAGTTAATGCTGCATGGACATTGGCTTCATCAAGTTTTCATGATCCAAGAATATATTGACCTTCGGACTCTCCACTAGATGTAACAGTTCAAACAAACAAGGCCCTTTCTAGCTCCTTCTACTACTTGTTCTTCTGGGCCAATTTCTATGTGCAACCAATAATAAGCGATCTTAAGGGCCAGGGTTTGTTCTCAGAATAAGTGCTACCTCATAGGAAAAGGAACATGTTGATAATTTGATCAAGAAGCAGGACCTATCATTGTCTTAATAAAAGGCATATGTCTCAAATAAGTAATTTTCTTATGGCAGAAGCACTCTAGGCTTTAGAAATACTAAGAAAGTGGGATATACATGACAATATATCTTGGAAATACAAAACATACACCAGAAGAAATATGTTCAGGCCATTAAGAACTATTGTGGCTGCGAAGATACAGTCTTCCAGTTTATCCAGAATAAGGCTGAACATAAAACAGAAGACATCTCTTCTGCCCACGAAGAACCACTTGTGAAGTGACATTTACAAATTCAATGGGATAATATTCTTCACCAGCATGTTTGGGATAAGAATTGCATCGGTAGGACATCGATATATGGAATCATGTAATACATAGGATGCTTATAGTCTGACTTGTCTAGAAAGAGAAACGGATGACCTTTAGGCAGCCTACCTTGTACCACATGAGGCTTTGATTATTTGGAATGTCGTTCCCAGTAACCCACAGGGAATTATTCTCTGACTTGTAAAGCTCGAGATATTCACCTTCCATTCCTATCTGCACAGAAGATAGTCAATTTAAGGGGTTAACTTTGGAGTGGCTGCATAATAGACAGAATTCACGTTGACCACATCTAAATATCAAAGTAGAAACCTTATTATGAGAAGAAGTGAAAAATAAATGAATCCAAAGATGCAATCTATTTGCAGATATGAGGAAAGAAGGACATTTATTTTTTGGAATGAATAGCAGTAGAGATTACGATGGGAAATGGCATATGTCCTGTTTTCTTGATGTCCCAATCAGGCTCAGATTATCAAACGTACAAGAGCCCTCACTAATTATCTTTAAACCTTCATGACATAAATTGAGAATGTGACTTTAGGTCCCCTTATTATAATATGTTGGATCGAAAACACCATAATAGTGGAAGCATTATAGTGCTTACAAAAGAATAATGTGGTGAACAGTCCACTATAATGCCGGAATTACTGCAATTGTATGTTGTTCATATCTATATGATTTTGAATCATATAACACATTTGATCAATATTTTTGGTTTTACATACAGCGATTAACAATATTATATCCTGTTCTGGACCTTTCCCTGATCAGTTTCTATATGTTTTCATTAAATTTCTTTTAGTTTAGCAGGTCTATTCTTGATATCTAGCATAGGCAATATACCTGGTATGTCCATTCGATAGAAGAAAAATCTTTCAAGATATTTGCCGATCCCACAAGCATCACACTAAAAATTCCAGCTCCTGCAATGTCGAACCATGGCCCATAATTCTTGCAAAGGATAAGATAAATTCATGTTAGGTGATCTGCTAACTTATTGAATTCTATGAACAGATAAGTGCATAAGAACATTGGTTGAATGAGAGTAAGTTACCTTAGGCTGCTATAACATAATTTTTTTTTTTTGACAATTAACTGATTATTAATCATAAGATAAAAAATACAAAATAAAGGACTCAGAAGACAGATACAAATCCAAAAATATCTACCACTCCTCAACCAGCAAGCGCTCCCTACCAACACCCATATTAGCTAAAGGATCTTTCCCCCATTTTCCCCCCTCAAAACATGGTGAAATGCTACACTATGAGAATCATAGATGTCAAACACTCACATAAAATATCATTGCTAATTGCTGAGGTTGGGAAGCCTAATTCTAATCCCATCCAACAACATTTGAACAATCAACCCCAGTGAAAGAATGCCCTAATATTACAGGGCACACGACCAAACCCATGACCAACACTTCCCCCCACACTGGCCCAAAGGTCCAGAATATGCCTAAACATAGGTTCTTATAGTCAAGAAGAGTGCTATTTACAATGTGAAACTCATCTCTTTACTTCCACTTTTGGGAGTATAATAATGACAAAGAAGAAAGAAAATAGGTGCGCCTCACTAAGATATACACACACTCCAAATTTCAGATCATTCCGATTTGTATAAAACAATGAAAAATAAAACACTACCGGACATTTGTGATCGTGCGATGAACTTTGGACGGTGATGAGAGTAGGCGAAATCACTGTTCATTTTCGCCTATATGCGTTGGGAAGACTTTTCCTATTTAGATATATCTAAGTATTATTTTAAATATATACATGTATTATTTAAAAATTATAACTAGAATATATAGTTGTATTTATTTAAATATTTAAATATTATATATTGAATATTATTTAAATAACTATTAGGGTTGGGTCCATATAGACCTGGACCCAGACCCGAATAGTGTTTGGTCCGATATTTGGACCCGGACCTAACCCGTCAAGTCCAATTTTTGACCCATACCCGGACCTGGGTCAGGTCCAGTCGTCGGGTCCGGGTCGATTGCCCCTTAGGCAATGGTTTTCTCCATAGTTTTTTATTCCCTCAATTTTAAATAAAGAATAATAACATTGATAAAGAGAAACCAACGATGAATTTTGCTTTCAACATTCAACTCTCTGTGGACCTCATAATGATGATCTCAATTAAAAATTGTTTTCTTCCCAAAAATTTTCAAAATAAAAAATAATTTTCAAGATGAAAAAAATCAGCAGATAATTATAGCAATAAATCAATATAATGTAAAGAAAAAGATGGCAAGTGTTCAAGGATTCAAAGGTTGGTTGATTCTGATTTGTTGGAATTGATGTGTCCATATGATGATTGTTTTTGTGAATTCATGGAATTATAGATTATTGTGTGTCAATTGATAACATATGCAGTACAGAAGCACCAAAATTTTGTTTTCAAATTGCAAGACAACAAAAAAGACAAATCATGATGAATTATGGTGATATGCTGTTGAAAAAAGAGAAAAACAAACAACCATGTAGTACCACTATAGTAGAAAGTTGCCTTAGCTGATAAAGGTTCTTCGGCAGACTTTCATTCTTACAAGTGGCAACGCAAACACATATTTACCCAACAAAGGGGAGAATACCTAAGGAAGAACCACAGGTCAACAAATAACAAAGGGAGAGTATAGAGAGAGCATATCAAGTGGGATGGAGCTAATTGGGTCCATAGTTACCAGAATCGCATGGAGAGTACCTCTGGGAGGAGCAAAAATGAACAGAGAAATTTTCTAATAGGAATCATCTAGGAAATGAAAAGGGGGTCATTCTAATAGGAATGGCTTAGGAATCCAAGACACAACCTGATGACAAGATTAAAAGAGCATACATGATTTTTAATATTCAGAACAAGGAAACTAAATTTAATGCATATGCAATGGAATACCTCATCCAATTAATGCATGGGTGTCATATATTCACAAGGGGAGCTTGTTAGGTGTTGTTCAATGCCTCTACGCACAACAAGTTGGACATGGTGGAGACCTAAGCAATGCTCTCTGGTGCCTTAGATCTTGGCTAATTTCCCACATCTATTAAGGGATATTCTATGAACGTGATCAATAGCTGAAAAAGGATGATGACATATTATGCAGGTCACAAAATTATTCAAAGGGAATTGTTATTTTATCCAAAATGTTAAAAAGTACAATCATGGTAATAGGGACACAAACATCTGCTTTAATAGTGTAGTTGGTGTAAAGAAAACAACTTTACGGTTCATGAATAGTTATTGGGATCTTCCCTCCAAGTGAAACCTTTTTTATTTTTACTGAAACAAGTAATTACATTTCCATTTTACCATGTCTAATTCTTATAACTTCGATTTTCAAAATGGGCTAGCCTTGGCTCAACATGGTAGATGTCCTTAAGAAATTGAAAGAAGAGACACTTTGGAACTGCCACTTTTGCACGACATTAGTCTCAAAGTAAAATTTTCATCAATTATTTCAAACAAATGTTTTTTAAATATGTAGCCATGTTATTTTACCACCATCAGTGCTCCAAAAAATACCGGGCAGCACCTAAGTGGCCGCGGGGATCTAAGCTGCCCAGCACCTAGGCGGCTGCCCAGGCACCTAGGTAGCCCCTAGGGACCTGCTTAGGTGGGGTACTAGGCGGGTGCTTAGGGGCCCTAGGTGGGTATCCAAGGACAGCCCGCCTAGTTGGTCCGCCCAAGCCTAGGCGATGCACCCAGGCCCCCCTAACGCTAGGCGCTGAATGCTTTTTGAATTAATGACCACTGCCATCGGACCATCTTAAAGCCCCGTTCTTGTATCTAAGGAACAACCACAGGTCGGGCCTTTCCAATAACTCAGTATTACAAAAAAGTAATGCAACCGAATAAAATGCTTCAATATACATAAAATGCTCCAATATAGCAATTACTAACATTGAAAACTATAAACAAAAGAAATCATCTATAACATGACAAAAGAATCTATCCTTGCTAAAATGATAAAATGTGACCAAGGTAAAAATGAACATAAACGGATGGAAAATAATTGGTATATAAGGAGAATATCCTCAGATGAAATCAAGACATTAAGATAGGGAGGACGAGTACCTGTAGACCAATCATCATACTCAATAAGTCTAGTGTATTGTTTCCTTGGTTTAATACAATTGGAGTCTTGAGTGTAAAGCTTGCATCCTCATGATTACCATATCCAAAAGCTGCAAGAAGTTAAAACCATGAGAGTGCGGATGTTAAACAATGAGATAACTGATGTGATCATATGGCTCCATTTGTGAGGCATTATCTAAAATGTTTGCAACACAATTTTAACTCTTGACAAATAGGACAATATATATCATGCACTTCAGGAGTATCCAAAACATGTAGCAATATTTGACTTTAATTTTCTGGATTAAGAGAAAAGAACACAAGACTTTCTAAATTTCAAAATTTCCCTGTCACCAAATTAACATAATATCACTTGGCAAATTAGGTTCCTAAAAAGACCAAAGACTTGCCAAGATAGAATCAAAATATCCTTTTGAATAGATCAATGATCTGGCAAGAACTTCTTTCCACTTCCAAAACATTGGTTTCCTAGATATTTCATGTTGACTTGCTTCACAAAAGTGGTTCCAACTAGGAACTTTCTCATAGGCTCTGACACCACATAAATCTTTGCTAAAAGATGGTAATTAGAATGACAATTTTCTCACTAACCAATGCATCAAAGACATTCTATACTCATGTATGGAATCAAATAGTCTAAATTGCCACTTACCCTTTGCAGCATAAAAATAACAAATCTACCCCAACTACATGAAGAGCAGTTAACGTTATGCAAACAATCCGAAATGACCATACTTTTTACATGACAAGGCACCCACACATATTGGCATAAAAATCAGAGACAACCTCGATAAGAACAAATACCTGCAGGCTTTTTGTTAACAAAGAGCAGCAAAGCATGTCCCAAACTTTCAACATCCAGATATAAGTCCTCGGAAGAGAGTTTCTCATCAACATTGACACTATCAAAATAGAAATAGAAACTAGTGATGAGTTCCACCACAACATCTGGATAAGATGATTTTCCCATCATGTTCTAATCTAATATGACATGAGATGTTGGAGCACTGTGTTAGAGTGCAGTATTTACATGGCTTCATAAAATGTATCAGGTTGTAAATAAGAGATAATGGTCATGGATGACATTAAAACAAGGGTAACTAAAAGGTGAAACCAAATCGCAACTACAAATTTGAAATAACTATCAAAGTCTAAATAGTGTCTTGAAATTAATCTTTAACTTCAGAATACAATCTCAAGCTCATCCAACATGATATAAATAGTGAAATCATTAAGAGGATAAAAATACAAGCACTTTAAACACATAGACAAGACAAACAAGAAAAGGTAAATTTCCCATCACCAGAAATGGTTTAAACTTCTGAGCTATGTCACTATCGATGGACATGGAAATGTACATAAAAATTGTAAAAAAAAAAAGGAAAAAAAAGAGAGAGAGAGAAAAAACGCTATATTTGTCCCCAAATGTGCAGCTTCATGATAAATACTGTTAAATTAGGTTCACTTCCCTTTGACATTATATGCATATGTACAACGCCTTTTAAGTTTTTGTTGAGTTTTCCCTTCAATACCCTGATTTCACATGAGTACTTTCTTGGCTTTTGGCCATTTTACAAAAAATGCAAAAAAAAAAAAAAAATTGAACTTTTTTACCTTCCAAGCAATTGCTAAGATATATTTCGGTGACTATGATGCAGTACATATAATGACTAAGTTCATTTTCTAATAATCAGAAATGTTCCCTCTAGCATTTTTTTCTTCTAAAATTCCCTTAGACATTCTATGAATAAATATATTGATAAAATTTGACAAGAGTGTTTACCAATGTAGACCATTGGGGGACAACCTTTAATCCAATGCAAATCAGTAGAACATAGTTATTAACACTCGTTAAACTGAGAAGCAAATCAATGCCAAATTAACCTAGTTTCAAATAAAATCCTCCTTTCTAAGAACCCAAAAGGGGATGGAGTTCATTGATTCAAATCAATATACCTAGAAGCAGTTTTTGAAAAATTGAACCAGCCGGTTCAACCAGCCTTACCGGGCAGATCCCGGCTGGTCCAAAAAGTGTTAAAAAAAAAATAAAAAATCTAAAAAAATATGACAAGTATATTTCAATCATAATTAAACAAACCACATCCAAATGAAATTGAAAACCAGTGAAAAAAAAAAAAATGTAATCTAAAAAATTAACTTGTACCCAGGGGTATTTTTGAAATTTTCTAAAAAAAAATGGGAAAATTAAAAAATAAGTATTCATGGCCAAAACAATTTCCAATATTTTCCAATATTTTCCAAAATCATTAAAAATTAAAAAAACACATTAAAAACAAATCCCTTATTTTTTGGGTTCTTAAATAATTTTTTTGAGTTTTTTCTAAAATACCTGGTCGAACTGGCCAAAACCAGATTGGCAAGTGCCCAGTTCTCGTTTGACCGGCCGAGTTTGCCAATACTATCTTGAAGTCACAATATCTTTAAAACACAAATTCTATGTGTTTCCATTTTCAGGGCAACTGCACAAAACATGGTTATCTCACCTTGTTGTATACCATAAAAAATCACTAACATCTCTCGTTGTGTTAATCTGCTCCAGCAATCCTGGTTTTGTGAATGAATTGCGACCCCAAATCCCTACTTGTTCTTTATGCCAACTCCATGAAGACAATGCAAGAGAATACTCCTTGACAAAAGTGGAAGTTCCATGTGCAGAGATGCTTTGTTGTGCACTAACCTGTAAGGTCACAAACATTGCAAGAAGTAGATATAGTACAACAGATGAAAGTAAGCATTTATAATTCCATTCTCCACATAACATTGTGAGAAATCTTATCGCGTATAAGCCAGTAGCTTTAAAACCCCACTAGTTGTCCTGCAAGAATTCTATCATTTAGCAACTACCTACAATGTACTTCATCCCTTTAAATGAAAAAGATATAATCGCCTATCCATATGATATGTACCATATATCGAAAACATTCATCCTAAGTCCATTGTTGTCACTAACCCACAATCCATCCCGGTCCCTTTGATTAAATGTGTGCTATACTCTTCTACAGATCCATATGCATATCAGCTACATAATCTGTTGGATATACCTATCAGCAGTGTCCATAGATACTTCAATTCTTTCATGTTTTCTTAATTATATTCTCAAATACTTGTAACCACTATATATCACAATAATCCCATCAATAATGACCAGGCTTTACAACATTGTCAAAAGTCATTAAAAATAAAATGAAAAACTTCATCAAAAGTCAAATGGGCACGTAAAAATTGAATCATCAAAAGATGATAAATACTATTTTCCTTCTACAATTGTAAAATGAGACACTAATGATTGCAAAAATGTAAACTTTCTACAAATCTCAAGCTATGTGATAACAATAACTCTTACCTTAGCTGTATTAAATATGACATTCTTGCAATCTGGAAGGATGCTCACTGACCAAGCAGGAAGGAAGTACGATCTCTCATTAAATGTCACATTAGCATCAGAACTATCGTCAATATTAGCAAGAAATGCTGCACATCCATCTGAACCATTGTAGTAATGTGCCTGGCAGCACAAATTTGCAAAATGTACAAAATCATTCTATGGCTTTGTAAAATTTCTTTGATTATACGTGCTAATCATTCCAGCAATCCTGCCATGACATAGTGCATCATGAAAGAAGAAACAAACAGAAACCTTGCTGATCTACACTATAAAGCTGAAAAGAAATGATTACTAACTAAGACAAACATATACCAAGATTCATTCAGAAATTTATGATGATAGACAAACCTAAGAAAATGAAAGCAAATGGTAATACAAGTTAACCTATTATTTAGAGAGAAAAAAAATGAGCATATCATTTCTAGTGGAGTATGAACCATTGCCTATATCCAATTAGACAATAAAATAATTTGCATTCAATGATATCAAAGCACATCAATGCAGTTCTTTGATAATTGATACTAATTTGTAAATTAGCAGAAGCTGTTCATAATGTAAAATGCTTGTTATCATGGTACTGCAAAAAAAAAAAGGAGAAAAAAACCAAGAATATATGGATTGCCAGTAAAGTTTCTCATTATGTTTTATCTGCTATATTCTGTAGCAAGGCATCTTTGTACCTTCATACAAAGAGAATGAGTTGTGTCATACATCTAAACAGAGTGAAACTAACTTATATTACCCTAGGAAAACAAAAAGTTCACAAACGGTGACCTTGGACAGCCCCAAAAGATTCCGGCCGCTGTTTAACGAATTTTAGGTGTGGCCAGGCATTCATTCATGGCATTATCAATTCAGATCTCCTATGTGGTTAAGTTGAAGGTGCAAAAACTGTGCTAAAATAACATCCTTAATGTGCACTATGTATCAGCTTTGTAAAAGCCACTCAGAGAATCAAATTCCATTGCAAGGAAAACAAGCATCAAAGATCACAAAAATAAGTGAAAGACGGTCAAAGTCGAGAATAACAAACATGATTCCTCAAAAAGAATGTAAAACTACAAATACAGTATCAAAGTTAAGATTGATGAAGGTGGATATCACATCAGCATCTCCAAGAGATAGAGTAGTTACTCTTTCATAACACATTTAGGACAAATGACAATGACTAAACAATAATAGGACGATGACCTTAGAAAAAAGGAATTAGATTCATTATCAAGTTAAGGAAAGTTTTATGTGGAGTTCCAGTGCCATAGGACACAAATTTTGAATGGGCAAGCTTTCTATACTTCCCTTAATGTATAAAATTATATACTTCCCTTAATTTATAAAATTATATACTTCCCCCTATCCAACCATCCATTCTAAATGGATGGTTGAGATGGCCCCAATCACAATGTCACACCTCTACACTATTTTATTAATATTTTTTACAAAACATTTTGACACCAAATTTTGGGCGTCCACTTCTCTCTTAAACTTGCACCTAAAAAAAAAAAAAATTCTCAATAAATAAAATAACCAAAGTGCCCCTAGAAATTTGGGGGTATTTTGGTCATTTTATTTTGCCAAAAATATTTTTAATATTTGTTTTAGGTGCCCCCATTGAGATGATGGAACGTACCAAATTTCATATTCATATAATTTGTAAAAAAATTAAAAATAAAACACTCTGAAACATCAGATCTTAGATCAATCAGTCAGTGGCTCACTTGATCAAAATTGAATGGTGGGATGTGGGGAAGTATATATCTTCCATAGAGTAGAGGAAGTATAGAAACCTTTCCCATTTTGAATATATCTAACAGTTCTTATAGTGTGGATTATTTTAGAACTCTAGTAACCATTTTGGTTTATGAGTAGATCAGTCTTCTAATATGGTGCTTTGAAAATGCACAAAAGCTTTTTACCCTATGTAGTAAAGAAGTACCAGCCACTAACTTTTAAAATAATGCAAAAGGTGTCCTCTTTGAATACCTCAGTTTTCGCACCAAATGAAATGTAAGTTGGATCTTCCGTGACCAAGATCTTCTCACACTGCTTTATTGCATTGTGGAGGTTTCGTAAGTGACCCCATTTTGGTTGTCTAAGGTAACCTGCATGAGGAAAGATTAATATATGAAAATTGATATCTAAAAGAATGTGTTAAAATAAAGAATATTTTATTAGCAAGGATATGACTAATCAGAAAGGAAACGCAGCATATAAATCAAGCAATAAAGGTTGGAGAGCTTAAGAGGTGCACTCAGAACTTTAAAGAATACCTAGAAATACTAAATTGTTGGCTCTCTATTTGTATATATATCTACACCATGACACTATCAGGTTTGGTGATAGCCAAAATCACCACTCCTATGTTTCTTCAAAAGATTGAGGGTATTATGGTCTTCGGTAAAAAACGAAAAAGGAGTTTTCTCAAAGAACAAGCAAGCAACCCTTCTCTATATGGGGGATCAAAGATGCAAATAATAATCATCCTTTTTAGGGCCACCCCTTTGGGTTCATGGGGAGGGATCTCCAAGAGAGAGAGGCAGAATTCCCATGGGTTTTGAGTCAGTTCATTTTCACATCTAGAAAAAGAAATATCTCAGCTACTCTCAAGGTTTTCTTTTGGAAGTGTAGCAGCAGGAAAGAGGGAAGTCGATCGCCAGTTTTTTTCAATTGTGAGAGCGAGTTCAGAAGGGAAGAATGGTTATCCCTTGTAACCCAAAAACTTTATTCTTTGTAGATAGTGGATTTTGACTTTCCGAGGATGTGCACCTAGCCTTTGAGGTGGACCACATATTCTTTGCATTACAATGATGTACCTAAGTTTTTGCTTTATTTTTTGTCGATTTGTTATTGCATTTGTTTATTTGCAGTCAGCCTACTATATATTCAATCTTGGGTGATGGTTCCATAGGATTCTATAATTGGCAAATTGTGGTTATCTCAGGATTACATTAAGAAGGTCCTCATGATATTTGTGATGGAGAATTCCAAGCTCGTGAGTACTCATCTTGCTGCACATTTCATATTATTGAGTCATTATCTCTGATAATAGATGCCAAAAGATAATCATCATCATCCAAGCCTTATCCCAATGATTTGGGGTCGGCTATCATAATAAGATGTGGCAAAGTTTTTACGTTGGCTAACAACCCACCTCCTTTACCCAAACCTGAGATGGGTTAAAGGAATGTTTAAGGTCCTCACCCTTATTAGACCATTCTATCATAAACATGTTCTATCGACAACATATGGGCAAATATTTTGCCGGATAATTTCCCTTAAGAAAAATAAAAAGGCATTGATGTCCAAAATATTAACTAATATCTGTGGGAAAACCTAGAAAAGAAATGGAGAAAACTCTGGCCTAGATATCGCTCTTCAAATAGATAGAAACAAGTATCAAGTTTTAAACCTTACAATGCAACAAATAGAAGGTTTTTACATCAACATAAAAGGAGAAATGCTCAAAAAGAGAGTCCATGAATCTTTTCTTTTCTTAGACAAACGAAGCTACTTAGGTTTTGATCATATAAAGCATTGTCAAAAGATCATCATCATCATCCGAGCCTTATCCTAACTATATGGGATCCGCCAAACATTGTAAAAAGATGTTATATCAAAAAATTCGAAATTCATATCTATCAGAAAGAGAAACCTAAGGATACCAGACATCTGCCTTCATTAAGGCTCGATTGTTTGAGGCAAACCACACCATCAAAGAAGCAAAAGTGTTGCCAATCCTTACCAACCAAACATTAGAAGGAAATGAGAGCTTTATTCTATATTGTGATTGTTAAAGAGCAATAAATTTGATGAAGAACCTGAGCTATCATGCAAAAGATGAAGCATGTTGATTTCAGATTTATCCATGAGATAATAGTTGAAGATGATCTCGTTGTTGAATCTGCGGCTCCATTATAGAAGTTCAAATATACTTGAACTTGATTAATTTATTGCCAAGGTGAGCACCCATGGGGGCGTGTGTAGAGAAAACGTTCGAACATGATCTTTCTCCTGAAATCTAAGCCAAGGTGGAGATGTTGGACATTGCCTTGACTCCCAAGAAAAGCAAGTCACAAGATTGGTATTGTTTCCCATTATATTCCAAAGTATCAACTTACTTAGGATACTGTGGAGTTGTTTTTATCTCTTATTTGGAAAGAGTAGACCTCAAATTGGATCGATTGGGGATGAAGTTAAGGGTTTCAAGATCTCTATATGAAGGAGTGAGAAAGAAGTCCATGTAAGAGAAAGAGAGGCTTGTCCAAGAGGTCCATGCAAGAGTGAGAGACTTCATTGAGAAGTCTGTGTGAAGGCGAGAGGCATTATGAGATGTTGAGATTAGGTGTGTGTGTGTATTCTCTGGTTCTCTCATATAAGAATCATCGTTCACCTTTTCCTCTTACCAGCTGAAAACTGTCAATCGTCTTGTGAATATAATCACATCTATGATGAACCTTATAAAATCTTGGTATTCTTCCTTATTTATTCTTTTATGTTCTTGTTTTTGCATGTGCTTGTTGCTTGACTGTGGTTGTTATTTTCTTGCCCTTTACTTTGCCAATAATAATGCCTTGGGTTTTAAAGTTTCCACACACAACGGGCACTATAACCCTTAGGCTTTTAACTTAGTGGTATACATATCAGTTTGGGTGGAGAGAGATCAAGGGTTTGAACCCCAGAAATTTGTCCTGAAAAAACAAACAAGATGGCCTACACTTTTTCTTTACACTAGGACACTGCATGCCGCAAAATACTTTAAAATCCTGAACGGTATTAGCCAGCCCCACTGCAGGCAACTCCTGCAGCTCTAGTTGTACAACATTAAGGTAACCTTCCTCTGATCTTTTGAAACACAGAATGGATTAGAGCCCCACAAGCTTGTCCATCTCCAAGAACAAGCCAGATGCCCTAAAAATTCCAATTCAAAAACCATAAAGTACAAAAGAATGGGACATCTTGAACAACTGCATATCCAATCAAGCCAATTCACCAAGAATAACCATTTCAAGAAAGAAAATTCTCCAAGGGCTAGCCACAACATCATAGCATTTGTAGATAAGTTTTTTACGGCAACCATGCATTGATGGATGCCACTAGGGAAAAATAAAGATGGAAAACAGAAGTGCCGGTAGAGAAACTACCAGCCAAGTGAGTGCTTTGAAAGGTCACGTATGAATCAAGCCAAAGGTGCCAAAACCACATCCCCAAGCGCATCGGATTAAAGGACATTTGGCCTAACTGGTGACATTGGTAGTCATTAGGTCTTCCATTAGAAGGCCTTTCAAACTCTAGATCATCGATGCATTTTCTTATTGAATTTCAAAATGGTTATAATATACCTCTTGTTTGATTGCATGATCTTGTTCTCAATCTTATTCCAGATTGTTGTGAGCTCAACAGCCACATCAAATTCTGCACCTTCAGATGTTTAATTAAGGATGAAGAGTGTCATTGTTATGAGATAGTTATTTGCTGGGAGGATAGAAAAATGTCAAGTAGTTTCCTCAAAGTAGATACATGGCGACATCTTGAGCTCCATTGGTTAGTACCTTGATCTACAACATGGAATAAGAATCCAACTGAAATCTTATAATAGATTTAAAGTAGGTTCATATTGTCTAGATTACACTGACTTAGAGGATCTCCAGTTCCCCACATGGAAAAGTACACACACTTTGGAAACACAGCTCATAAATACAGAAAATGGTATGAAAGAGATACAAATGTGTCAGTTATTGACCATTCTTCAACAATAGAAGCATACGGATTAAGCTAACATTTATTGCGATCATGAGATTAGATGAAGAAAGGACCCAAATTCAGTAGGCTAAAATTGGTTTAAAAAAAAAATGCAAAATGAGTCCAACACATGCACTATATGTTGTTGGAACAGTACCATATTCATCTAGTGGAGCATCGTAATCATAACTTGATGCAATGAGAGGCCCACCCGCTGTTCTCCCAAAATTAGTACCTCCAAAATACTGAAATTAATTACCATATCAAAATTATTATAGAGAACATGGTACATCAAATTTCATTTTTATAACAAGGGAATTCCTCTCTAATTTGGAAATGAAAAATCGAATTAAGAGCACATACCATGTAATAGTTCTGGAATGTGCCTCCTGTCTCAAAGAAACGAGCAACTGCAAATGCAAGGTCCTCAACAGGTCTAAAAGGAGTAGGACTGCCAAATGCTTGGAACCTGCACTAATTATAGTGGGTTATGACATTGCAAGAGATTTGGTAAAGATACTTCAAGCACAGCAGCTTTAAAAAGCTAACATTTGAATCTATCAATATACCATTACCATCCACTATAATTCTCTGTCCACATCTTAGGCTTTGACCTGGAATTAGGAGTAAACTCGTCACAGTAGAACCCGTTGCATGTATTTATCTACATCGCCCACCAGTTTCAGTTGATATCAAAATCCAAAATTGTTTCATAGAAGAAATTCAAATAAATAATACATAACAATTAAGTACTATAAAAATAAATATAATATATTGCAGCTGCTTCCCAGCCCTTCCTCTCATTCAGTTGTTCCAAATCTCTTTCGTTGGCTAGTTGAACCACCCGCTGGCCGATTCTTCTATTGTTGTAGGTTCATCATCATTAGAGCCTTTTCCAACTACTTAGGGTCAGCTATACAAATCCTGGCCTGCCATTCTGCTCTATTAAGGGTAGCTTTAGGATTCATGGAAAGTTTTGGCAAAATTTTTTGTTAGCTGCTTACCTAACACTAGTCACCTCCTTTACCCGGGCTAGGGATGGGTTAAGGGAAAGTTTAAGGTTCCCACCGTTCTTAGACCAATTCCAAGGCTTCTAATCCTAAATAAATGTGCAAACCTAACAAAACACAGAGTAAAGACCAGGAAGTTATTTCTCCAAATTTTCAAGTGAGATTGATTCTGAGCCCTGGAAACTCTAGAAAAGAAAGGATCATAAGAAGAAATTTTTTTTTGTTTTGGTTGGGGGGGAAGGAGAAAGAGAGGGTTCAATGAGATAAATTCATCTCACTAATCAAGAGTGATATTTGATTTGAAGTATAGGACACCATAGATTTCACTATTCTGTAAGTTGTTATGTCCATATATCTCAGTGTTTGACAGCCCAGCCGAATTACTTGGAACCGGCCACTGGCCAAGTTAGGCAATCAACCGGCTTGACCACCCTAACTTAAAAAAGAATTCGAAAACATTATAAAAAAAAGTCCAAAAAAATAATAAAATTTGTTTATGGTTTTGTAATATTTTTTATTGTTTTGGAAAAGATTGAGAAGTATTTTGGCCATATGTTACATTTTTCCAATTTTTGGATTATTTCTAAAATACCCTTGGGCACAAATTGATTTTTTAAAATCCATTTTTTTACCACTTTTTTAATCTCATTTGGATGTATTTTGTTTTATTATACTTTAAATATACTTTCCATATTTTTTAGGGTTTTCTAGGTTTGTTTTTGACATTTTTAACCCTAGTCAGCCCGGTCAGGACTTGCCCGGTTAGGGCCGGTTCTGAGTTACTCAGATCCGGCCCATGGCCGGGTTCCAAGGCTGGTTCGTGCAATCGAACACTGATATATCTCATCAGAAAAACTCATGTACTTCTGCCCACTAAAAGACGTGGGGGAGTTTCACAGCATTAGTAGAATGTGACTTTATTTATGTAAGATCACCTCGTACTCTCTATTTCATTTCTATATAAATGAGCATGTACCATAGATAGTTGGATCGCTCAAGTGAGGTATACATACTCTTTGAAGTTTAGGCCATTAATTGCATTAAATGAGAATGATCTAGTATCCTACATTCTTCCGCTGCCCAGTCTATAAAACTGTTATTGCCTACAAATTGCATCAAATGTGCTCTTTATGAAAATAGGCATTTTTTATCATCAACAGTCAAGAATACACAAACCAAATAGATAGGTTACTGTTTTATTCATGAATATTAGAAAAGTTCATAATAGCCCATGGAGCTGAAAGAGACACTTACAATTGGATCAGGAGCATCTTCTTGTTGGCACATTACCCAAGGAACAGTTGTATTAAGGCTCACAGCAGTTGATGCTGCCCATTCCACATATAATTTTCCCCCAATCCCATATGCCCACTCGACATTTCCATACTCATTTTCAACCTGTTAAGAGGCAATGAACAATCTAGATTGTTAAGCACAGAAGTATTTGAAAGCCAATCATTCTCATAAGTTGTGTAGAATAGCATGCAACAAACCAGTTTCTAAATTTGGGTTGGACGCATAAGAAAGATGCGAAAGAAAGCCAAAAGTTGGTGGAATTCCAATGAGAAAGGTGCAGAACAATGCCATAGGAAAGCATTACAAAATATTAAAACTTGATCACCAGAAGTCCATTCCATCAATGGAAAAAATAACAGATGGTTCTACAAAATATTAGAAGTTGAGCACTAAGTTGTATTGAGCCATGATATAATTTACACAACTGAAGAGTTCACAATATGATGCTGGCAAACAAATCTGAACTAGAGAGTAAGGAAGCTCAGTGCAAAGGAAGGCAAATTACAAAAGCTTATAATGGACAGGAGGAATAAAAAACGAGAATCATGTTGTCCATATTCAATGGTGTGAAACCTAAATCATCCCTCACGGAGACCAAAGAAACCATTTCAAACAAACAAAAATACTAAATTAAATTGATTCTGTTGAATAAAAGCATAAATATTATTATGAAGAGCTGTGAATATCTTGAAGAATCTAAATGGTAAGATTGAGAGTCAAAGAAACCATTTCAAACAAACAAAAATACTAAATTAAATTGATTCTGTTGAATAAAATCATAAATATTATTATGAATATCTTGAAGAATCAAAATGGCAAGATCGAGTGTCAAGAGCAATGTCCACTTTGGCATCCCAATACGTTGTCCCATACATTCATACTAATTGATTATATGAATAATAAATACCTATATCTGCGCATTAGATTCCTTATAGGGACGAACTATGGAAAATGCAAATCTATCTAGGCATTTCCATATTAAAGTGCTTATGAATTTTAATGAGAACTTAAATTCAGCCATGAAGTTGTGGTACAACAAATTTTTTAGAAGCAAATCCTAGTGCTTCTAGTGGTATTACCAGAGGGCATAGTTGCCCACCTGTCCCTCGACATATACATCAATATGTACGTATATTCCTGACAGCAAAGGAACTTTGAATCAGTCTATGGCAGACTTGAGTACTTGCACATACATATTTTAGAAAAGGCAAAAGTAATATGCTCTACCATACATTAAACATTTTGGACTGCGTGTCAAGATTTCAAAATTCAATTGTTCAATCCAATTTTACTTTAAGAAACTTTTTTTGGCTAAGTTAACATATCATCTGTTGCATTTTATGTCACTGGCCCCCACTATAAATGATTATAGTGCACCACTAAACTTAAATGAATATTTCTTTAATAAAGCAACATTCAAGTGCACGAATATAGCTCATAAGGAAAATATAAATAAGAAATCTATTATAGTATCACAAAAACTCAGCTTTGAACTTGGTGATATTCAGAGAATGGTAATCACCTGGGCGAGGATGATAGGCCCACCTTCTGAAGCAAAAAGCTTTTCATCCTGCATTAAATTAACTATCTTTGCCAAAAATATCTCCATTTCACTCTGCAAAGACATATCAAAATGGTTCATAACCTCTAGCATGTGAACCCGTCATTTGGTATTCTCAAAGTTGTAGTAGTCTGAAACAAAGCAATTTTCCCAAGAAGAGAAGACAGGGAACCAAGGTATAACAAAGCTTCATATGTTATCAATTTACAAGTTGAAAGTACACCCTGAAGAATTAAAGGTACCTTAAAGGCAGCATTAGTTGTGCGAAATTGAATTCCATCAATAAAGTGCAACCAAATAGGAAAACCACTGCATGAATCAAAGAAACAGTACTCCTAAGTAGAAATAGTGAGAAACATTATGACAGAATATGCTTGATTTCCTTGAAAGTCCAAGGTGGATCTTCATAACTATCAAGTCCTAAGTAGGTGGATAACAAGTTTCCATCTGCACACATGCATTTGGGAAAATGGGGACCATGCATATGAGAGAGAAACTTGCACACGCATACACAAGCATATGTGTGCATGTGGATAACAAATACATACATACACTGGAAAAAGCTTCACAACCTACATGAACTCTACTTAGAATTAGTAGAATTCATAGAGGCATTGAACAATTAAGAAGAAAACAACATATAAACTGCAAAAGAAAAACAAAAAATAGAATAATACAAATAATTTTGAAAATCCAATAAAAACAAAAATAATAGAGCTTTAGGGAGCATATGGAGAGCATTGCATGGAATAAGAAAAAAAGGCTCAACTCTCTGCATAACAATATACTGGGATAATGACGGTTCCTCAACAAAATGTCAAAGACAACCGTCACTAAATAAAATGGAGTCAATAAGAACTTTTAACAAGTGCAATAACATGTTTTTAGTACATAAGCCGGTCAATTCCTGCCAGATGGAACAAGCTGAATTACCTCAAAAGAAAATCTTACGAAAAATGAAAACACCCAAATGTTGTGATCATAAAATATTGTGTTTGTATCATAATAAATAGGTTATGTAAAATTTTGGTGGGGGGACAATGTATTAGAAAGAGTTGACTCATATTTCATGCTGACTCAAAAAGAATGTTGAAGGCAACTACGAAATAAAAAAAATGAAGGCCATTTTACAAATGTATTTAAGATAATCAAACCATTAAGAAAAATAATGTTGTTCCATACAAAGTCTTCCTCATAGGTAAACAGGGACGAGTTACTAGTTGATGGGATTCCGCATTCGATATTCTCAATAATCAGCCCATTAACATCAAAGGCAGAGACAAACCCGTAGTTCCATTCAGCACATACATAGGGCCCAATCCTCAAATGTACATAAAGGCCTGCATCCTGCACTGTCTTCACAAACTTTACAAGATCGAACCTGCCCTCGAAATTGTACTACATTAAAATTTTCAGAAACATGTCATTGTAATATCAATAACAGAGTTCACAAAAAAAGAAACTATCCATAGAGGAATTCACACATAAATTTCCACGCAAGTAAACCTGGACTCTGCAGTTCTTCACATATTTAGTCCACAACTTCATGTTAAGTGAATATAATATAGAAATAAATATTTCAAAAGCAACAATAACTTGCCCAAGATTCAAATTTTCAAGAATAACTACCTGCCTTCTTTCAGGTTCATGATAGTTCCAAAAGACATAAGTTTCAATTACATCTAAACCCCCATCCTTGGATTTTTGAATAATCTCCGGCCACACCTGAAGTTCAAAACTTCCACTATCTTAAAGTCACTCTTAACAAAACAAAACTGTAGACATTCGTTAAAATACTAAAGAATGAAAATAATTCCATGAATGAAGCAAAGAGAACAAGGACAGACCTCTGGTGTGGTTCGGGGATAATGAATAGACCCTGAAAATAAAAGTCGCCTCTGCCCATCGATAACGAGGGCTCTATCATCATATGTGACAGTAATTGCAGATCCTTTCTCATAGTTGTGGCCACTAAAAACTAAAAGAACAAAGAGAAAGAAGTAAAACAAGTCCATATCTCACAAATTAAAAGCTCAATAAACCGCCACTCCCCAGCACAACAACAGAGAATGTTTATAGCAAAAAACTAAGTGAGAGATGGCTATATTCTACAGCCAAATACAATGGGGAACAGCTAACTACGCATGAAATACATTCTCTACATGATTTGCTTTTTGTTGAGTGGAAAACCAGAGGCAACTCATCTAAACATGAAAAGAATGATCAAGGATAGCAATTGACATTTGAAATGCCTTCAGAGAAACTTAATCCAGTCAAAGAAAACCCGATTTCTAATTCAACCCAAATTAATGAAGGCAGAGAAATGCATAATTGGACTAGTAAAGCATGCTAACTATACAGAACTAATGTCATTCTTCCAGAACAAAGACAATCGAATTCTGTGAAGATCACGAAATTCGAATATAAGTTACTGAAATTCAGTGAAGTGCAAATTTAAGGGAACTTGCTTCCACCGAATTCGGAAGGATACATAAGAGAGAGAGAGAGAGAGAGTGCTTAATATTGAAGCATGAGAGAGATACCTTGAGAGCGTCTGAACGATGTTATCAAGGAGGATTAGGATTAGGGTTCGGCAACAAAGCTTCATTGAGCATAGAAACAAATGGAAAAAGACACGGGACGAGAAGAAAAGAGTTTCCAAGCTTATCATATGCACATGAGTTCAAATGTTCGTTGCTGAATTCCAGTGAAATTTTGGAAACTACTTGCTTAGTGAGAGAGAGAGTAAGAGAGAAGAGAGAGAGTGTAGAGAGAGAAAGAGAATCTAAAAAGACGATGTCTACGAGGGATCCATATGGGAAAACAACGAGAAGGACATTCAGATTTAAACGGAGGAATGGCTCGAATCTGCACGACACGTGTCGAACTGAAGGAGTTGAATCATGTTAGGCTTTCATTAGATGAAAAGCAGAGCCTTCCCTCTTGAATCTCGTTTGTGTAGATCCACGTCGCGGCAAGAAATTTTAAGGGAAAATATCCTTTGTCCCTATTTTTATCTTCTATATTTTTATCTTTTTATTATAAATTTTTATCTTCGATATTTTTATCTTTTTATCTTCTATATTTTTATCTTTTTATCTTCTATATTTTTATCTTTTTATCTTCTATATTTTTATCTTCTATCTTTTTATCTTCTATATTTTTATCTTTTATCTTTTTATCTTTTTATCTTCTATATTTTTATCTTTTTATCTTCTATATTTTTATCTTTTTATCTTCTATATTTTTATCTTTTTATCTTCTATATTTTTATCTTTTTATTATAAATTTTTATCTTTTTATTATAAACTTTTATCTTTTTATTATAAATTTTTATCTTTTTATTATAAATTTTATCTTTTTATTATAAATTTTTATATTTTTATCCTCTATATTTGTATCTTTTTTATCTTTTATAATTTTATCTTCTTTATTATAAATTTTTGACTAAAATGACACCCTCAAATATAATCTCACGCTACTTTTCCTCTCTTTCTCCTCTCTCTCAAAACTATTTTTTCTTCCCTTTTTCTCCTCTCTTTATAAAAAATTATCTCCCTTCAAAACTCCCCATACTTGGTTTATTGAGATTGAATAGAGCGGACAAGCAATTTCCATTTTCCCACCTCTCTCTAGAATCTAAATATCTATGTCGTACTCAAATTATTCATCTCTCTCTCCTTTCTCTATCTTAATGCAGGCAGAGTCGCTTGGGCACGTGGAGTATCATTTCAATCGTGGCTCGTCTCCATCGACTGCAATTCCCTTTGTCTCCTTACCTCGTTGTCTCCCTCCTCTTTTCTCTCTACTTTTTAGTACTACTGCTCACTGCAAACTCTCAAAACTCTGATGTCACTTTCCTTTTACATAGCATCAAGTTAGCTCTCCAAGGTGAAAACCAGCACCTCCTCCTGTCCACATGCAACCTCTCCACCCCGTGTCAATGGCGTGGCCTCAAATGGGGCTTTCAAGATGGCTCTTCTCTCTCATGTGAAAACCCATCTTCCAAAACCAATCTCTCTCTAGCCCGTGACCCCAACCTCCAACTTCTCTCCCTAAAGCTTCGTGTTTCTGGTCTTGTGGACCAAATCTCTCCAGAAATGGTGAAGCTTTCCTCTCTTGGTGGTAATTCACTCTCTGGTCCCATCCCTCTGGGAAATGGAAGTTTTTCTATCCAATCTCGACAAACAAATATGGGGGGGCTGAGATAATTTTTTAGAAAACAAAAGAGAAAGAGAAAGAAAAAGTAACTTGGGAATAAATTTTAGTGTTATTTTAATAGTTTTTAGGTCAATAATTTATGGTCAAAATAATTCAAACGATTTTAAGATAGAAAATATTAAGACCAACTACTTACCGCTAATATTTTTAATTCTTAAATCTCATTAGACAATGAAAGTTAAAAATAAAAGATAAAAAGATATTTTTAAACTTTTAAAGGGTAATTGCTGTCTCCCCTCCATCATCGTTCAGTGAAGAGGATGGACGGGATCATTGGTTTTATGCGAACTCAGTATATTGTTTCCTTGCTTCTTATATCGAGGAAGAAAAATGTTACTAATATGTTCTTCACCGCTAAAGACACATTTAGCCTAGGGTGCGGTTTGGCCCGCTAAAGGCACATTTAGCCCAGCGTGTGGTTTGGTAGATCCTCGACAATCAAAGTAAAACGCACCTTCAAATAGTATTGAAAACTGCGGTTTCAATACTGAAAATCTTTATTATCTTTAATTATAAAATTTAAGGGAAAATGATGTCTACCCTCTCTCCAAAATTTTTATCCTATTAGCTCTTTAGGTTCACCAAAATATCTTACCCCCTCAAGTTTTAAACATTGGGACCCGAACCCGTAGCTCCCAATTATGCTTTTTTATATTTTTTAACAAATTTGAACTTTTTGTTTTACAAAATGCCAAACACATATATTAGTCATCTATCTGTTTTTGGTGACTTGATATACAAATTTTATTTATGATAATAATAATAATTATAACAACAACAACAATATATTAATTGTTGAATAATTCATCTCTTGTAGGTATTTTGATAAATTTATTTTTATAAATAAATAAAAATAATCCATTAACAATAGTAATAAAAAGTTTGGTTAATCATTTTGCAAGTTCAAAAGATATAAAAAAGATCATAATATTAAATAAAATTTCATTTTCTTTTCAAGTCTAAATTTTAGAGTGTGGTTCATAAAGGTAAACGAAATAAAAAAAGAAGGGAGTTACTAATGGATGGGATAGTCTTTTTGTAAAATAAAAGATCAAATTTATAAAAAGAACAAAAAAAAAAATAATTGGGGGAGCTAACGGCCCCAATATTTTAAACTTGATGGGTACAAAGGATTTTGATGGGTTAATAGAAATGAAAATTTTAAAGAAGGGTAGAGGATATTTCCCAAAATTTAAAACTTCGAAATGAAAATTGTTTGAGGGGTCCAAGCTTGCACATGGTGCTATGCGGGGTTGAAAATCTATAATGAGCAAATAATTGAATGACTTAGATTTTTGACAACCCATAATTGTGACCGGTAGGCTAGGTGTATGCTCTTTTCGAGTTTCAAAAATGTCCCATCACGGACAACTATACCTTTTGTTCCCATTTGACCCTAATCACTCTCGCCCTATCGAGAAAGGTTTTTATATTTTCCCTACGGCAATGTTTTTCCCATTATACAATTTTGATCAAGATAGTCATTCACCATTTCATTTTAGATGTCTCAAAGCATTTTATTTTAAATTTTTATTATATAAATTTTATGAATATGAAATTTGGCACGTGCTATCTTTTCATTGGGGAGCACTTACAAAAAAAATATTAAAAATAAATTTTCGATAAAATAGAATAACCAAAATACCTCTTGAAATTTTTAAAATTATTTTAGTTATTTTATTTTATTAGAAATATTTTTTTTATATTTTTCGCTAATACGAATTTAATTTAAGATTGGTCGTCCAAAATTTGGTGTAAAAAATAATTTATAAAAAAACTATTAAAAACAAAATAATGTAAAAATATAACATTATGATTGGGACAATCTTAGCTAGTCTATTCAGAATAGTTGGATAAAGAAAAGTATATAAGTTTTATGGGATAAAAGAAGGCGTGCCCTCCTTATTCTACCTCTACGGCTTCACTTTGTGGTTTACAGGGATCTCTGGATTTTTTTTCTCTCTCCACCGGACACTCTCTTTGTATACCTGTATATCTCAATGGATTTAACTAACAAATGATCCGCACAAATGATCCGCTTCTCTTTTCGTCTTGGTTCTTTTAATACTTCTTTCTACTTGTCTTTTTTCTCTCTGTAGTCTGGTTGGAGAATCAGGAGAGATTTATGTTACTCCTCGAGTTCACCTAGCGTTCATATAAAACAGACAAACAAAAACAAAAATAGCAGAAGAGGGAAAGATGCAAATATTGAGAAAAATTGCCGAAAAAAAATCAAAATATCGACTAAATCAAATGTAAATGTGGATTTTTTCAATATGTTACCTGGTGATTTATTTTAACTAAGCCATTGCTAAAGGGAGAGGCCTGGGTGGAGAAGGCTGCAGAGATAATAAAGTGGACGACTTAGTATCATCTTGTGACCAAAATACGGTGCAGAGATAATGAAGTGGACGACTTAGTATCATCTTATAACCAAAATGCTAAACTACGTATTCAAACCAAAACTCCCCTAGAAAAGTGACCAAAATGCTAAACTAGGTATTCAAACCAAAACTCTCTTAGAAAACAGTGAATTGAAAGGTCAGAGAACATGCAGGATTGCAAAAATAAAGAGGTTTCCATGTTAGTAGTGTTGTCGTGTAAACATTTGTCCGTGTGTAAGGATTGTGAGGGTTTTCTTGACGCCTTTGCTGAAATTTAAATGACTCAGAGCACTGTAGTCTTTCTTGTGGGCCGAAGCTCTAAACTTAAGAGGTTGATCTTTGGCAAATAAAATATAAAAAAATAAAATAAAAGCAAAAAACGATACATCAGACACGACAAACTTAAATCCATTATACAAATCAAAATTACATTAAAGATTTGTTAATAGAGATTCATTATACAAATGAAAGCTACCCTACAAATTTTGGAATAAAAAATTACCTCTGTAAACTTGTTATTTATGCTATCGTTTATGAATGGTTTGTTTTCAAAAGAGACAAGTGAGTTAACCAAGTCAGAAAGAGAAACCTTTAGAAACCCATAGACAGCTACAAAAAGAGAAAGCATTGACACATGAAGTTCTGAGAGTACATTGAACGTGTACTGCCTAACTATACTTGGCCTCTGCCGACTGTGGGAGTGACCCATTGCATAAAAGAGCAAATCACAACACTCAATAATGCTAACCCAAGAGGGAGGACCCATTGCAGAAACAAAAGCAACTCTCTCTCTCATCCTCCAAATTTGTAGCTTTACTTTCTCTCTCTAAATTTCTCCTCTGTGAAATCTGTCCCTACGGTCCTCACAAGTTTTTGCTGCTCTGCAGATAAAAACCTCTATGTATCTCTTTAGGGAGCAGTGATGTAT